ATGTGATGACAGATCTGATAACCATTCTAAAAAAAAAAAGTTCCAAAATTTCTTTGAAGGGTGGAGTAGACACTGGCATTGGTGCACAGCTTCCCAAGTGGAGAACATTGAAGGTAACTATAATGATATTCGGCAATGAGGTATACGGCACTTTTTCTAGGATGTGTTCATGAACTTAATTGTCAGATCTTATAGCTTGATGTCTCCACATTTGGTCATTGGAAAGACATTGCTCTATGTAAAGGTGCAGCAGTTCTGGCTTCAGAGAAGGCACAGTATCCATGGAGCAATGTCAGCTATCAGTGTTGATAAAGACTGCAGGTGTCCTTAGCAGCCAATGCTGTGAATGTCCAAGCCAGTGGTGAGGGCTGTTGGGACTACCAGGGGCAATGGCTGCTAAGACCTCTCCAATCTCTTTTTCTCCCATTTTCAATAAAGTATGTTAGAGAAAAGAAAATGATAGGAAAATCATAAGAAAGAGAAAATATATTTATATATTTGCTATAAAGTGGAAGGAAGTATATTGTCCTAAAGGTCTTTATCCCTTTCATCTTTATGTTGAGCAGTATAAGGGGATTCACATAATTCAGTCAGGTTGTTACAAGGTCAACTATGTAACATTATAGTAATACAGTTCCATTTCACCTTTCCCACTTGTGCCATTGTTGTTATTTATTTATCCATGTAGCTATCCTTTTCAGTTGTCCTTTGCATGCCTGATAATTTTTGATTGGATTGCAGATATTTTAACATGTTGTGACTACTAGACGTATTTTTATTTCTACAAATACTTTTGAGCTTTGTTCTAGAATGCTGCTAAGTTGTGTAGAGTTTGATCCTGCTGCCTCTTACCTTTAAGATTTATCAATACTGACTAATGGTTGGTCTTGTGATAATTATTCTATATTACTTGAACAATTATTTCACACTACACACTACCATTAGATGTACTTCACCTAATTCCCACTCAAACATGAAATCTTCCACTCTGGCTGGTGGAAAACATTACCTCTGACTCTTTCAGGCAGTTTCCTTACATGTATGCACTCATCAGCGCACAGGTACTCAGAGGTGACCCCATGCACATCTCTAGAATTCTCTGTGCAGTCGTTCTCCCTCTAGTAATCTGTCTGGCTGCTTTGTTCACTCCTGGTTTACAGTGCTATTTCTTCAATTTGGGTACTTTGATAGGCTCTGCCCATTTTCCCTCATCTTACCCTACAGCATGAAAACTTCCCTAACTCAGTAAGAGAGGGCAATTTAGGACTCAGTTTCATCGTTTCCCTTCTTTCAGAGATCACTGTACTTGGATGTATTGTGTGCCACACCTTGACTGTTGTTTCATGTACATTTCTTATTAAAAATAAACAGTGACTGAGGGTTAAACCAAGAGTTCAGAAGTCAGAGCAAAGAGCCACAGAAACTTCTCAAGAAGCTGGAGCTGATGACCTAACCAAGAAATTGTCAATATAAATATATGCTTGACTTAATTTTAGCATATTAGTGAACGATGACTTCTACATTGTTCCTGCTTCCTCCTTTTAGTGATTGTGCTTACTGCAGTCAATGTATGTTTCCCTCACTATTGTATGTTTTGGGGGGAGTTGTGTGTGTGTAGAGGACAGATCACTTTGCTCTTACGTTTACTGCAGATGTGTGGAAACACATCCAAGGAGCCTCACCCCCATCTGGACCTGATTTAGGTAAGACCCTAAACCACAAGCCTAAGCCTAATGTCCTACTGGGATGAAATTTTCTTAAGAGGATTTGAATCCATTTTTCTTTTTTTTCCTTGCAGTTTTTGGCTGGGGCTGGGTTTGAACCCACCACTTCTGGTACATGGGGCTGGCACCCTACTCCTTTGAGCCACAGGCGCCGCCCTGAATCCATTTTTCATGTAGAGGAATGTTAATTTGCCGCCAGAGACAGGGCTGAGGTGATCCTACCCTTTAAGAGGTAGGATTAGGGTCCCTCTTCTTCAATGGAGGTCAGCTCTGTGACAACTATGACATACAGCAAAAATGAAACTGTGCCAATCATATCGGAACTATGCTTTGAAATGGTGGCTCTGAAGAAAGCTAGAAGCCATATAGCAAGTCCAACTACCATGAAATGACCATACGTGGTGAAAGTGATGTCGCTGTCATTCCAGCCAGGCACCAGACATGGGAGTGAAGCCATTCTGGACATTTCAGACTAGCATCCACCACATAAAGAACAGAAGCCCACCCAGACATATGACGCAGTCGTCTCTGATATTTGAGCCACTGTAGCTGAGGCCCTAGAGCCCATGAAACAAGGCAAATTATCCAGACGAACCCTGACCAAATGGCTCACCTACAGAACAGGAAAACAGGAGAAACAGTACAATGGCTGCCATCCCAATCCACTCAGTTTTGAAGCAATCTGTTAGCAGTAAGTAACTCCACTGGAGTTCAGTGTGGATGTGCCTACAACAAACAGAAAAACAGACACAACAGGGAAGCCACACTGCCTCTGGATCCATGATTCTACAGTTCAGGAAGCCACGCTGCCTCTGGATCCATGATTCTATAGTTCAGGAAAGAGCTTTCCGTAGCACTTACCACCTCTGGCATTTTCTAGATCATTCATTTATTTTGTCTAATGTTTGTGGTCTGTTTTGTTACAATTTAAACTCCTCAAAGATGGGGAGTTTTGTTGTCATTCACTAATGTCTCCTCTACATGCAGACCAGTGACTTGCATGTTGAAAACATTAAAATATTTGTCAAATAAATAAGCCAACTTTGAAAATGGTATTTAAGCTGAGTATAATGATGGATTACCTTGGGGGTGAATGCAGCAGAGAAAAGATAAGGTTTAAAATGGGCATTCCAATATTCAGAGGCTGAATATAGGGAGAGAAACTAGCAAAGGCAACAGAGAATAGAACTAGTGTGGAAGAAGAAAAAATAAAAAACAGTATTCTAGAAGCAAAGTAAAGAGAATGTCTCAAGAAGGCAAAGTGATCAAGTATGTTACTGATAATGCTGAGAGATGAAGGTGAGCACTGCGTATTAACTGCTGGATTTACCCATGTGGAAGGTGATGGATGTTCTTGACCTGGACGGTTTAGTGGAATGATGAAGATGAAACCCGACTGTACTGAGCACAGGAGAAGAAGGGAGAGAAAGGAAAAAGACTTTTATAAATGAGTTTTCCTGTCAACTGGAGAGATGGGGAGAGGGAGATGTGATGATGGGGTTTATTGTTGATATACTATAAAATTACTTTTGCATGCCAATAAAAATAATCCATAAAGTAGAGAAAAAACTAATAATATGGAGAGAGTAAGGGCAGTTGAGTAGGTGAGAGGCAATAAAATCCAATATATAAATGAGTGTGAGATAAGAACAGCCACATGATTTATCTGTCGTTAGGAAGAGGAAACAGCACGTGGGATAAACGAGGCTGGATAGACGTGTTCTATTTGGTTTTACATTCAGCAGTAAGCTGAGGGGAGATAGGAAATAGTCCGTACCATTATACTCAGATACACTTGCCATGTACCTTAGAACTTGTCGCACCATGTTGCAATGATGGACATTTCTTTCTCCACTGGACTGTAGAGTAACTTAGGGCAGGGGAAGAACTTCTTACTTTTGTACGACCAGTATGTAACACTGTGCTCTACAAATATTTGTTGACTCACTGAATAAATAAGTGAATTATTATAGAATCCCTTAAGATTTTGAAGCAAAGTCAAGAGAGTTTGAAACCAGCAAAAAATAAAACACCCGTCAAATATCTATTTGATATATATTTAAGTGTAATTTGAAAATATTGAAACCTGAAACCATTATATTTCAATTTACCCGTGAAATTAGAGAAACTATATATAGAACATAAACATTGGCTCGGCGCCTATAGCTCAACCGGCTAAGGCGCCAGCCACGTACACCTAAGGTGGCGGGTTCGAATCCCCAGCCTGGACCCGCCAAACAACAATGACGGCTGCAACCAAAAAAAATAGCCGGGCGTTGTGGCGGGCGCCTGTGGTCCCAGCTACTTGGGAGGCGGAGACAGGAGACTCACTTGAGCCCAGGAGTTGGAGGTTGCTGTGAGCTGTAATGCCACGGCACTCTACCCAGGGGGACAGCTTGAGGCTCTGTCTCAAAAAAAAAAGAACATAAACATTTCACTTTTTAACATATTAAGGAAGTAATGAGATGCTGATATTAAAAATAAAATGTGTTGAGTTATGAGTAACTCTGGACTATGGTTCACAGTGACTCCAGGTATTCAATGTTTTATTATAAAATTTCAAAATTACACTTCAAAAAGACTAACATCTTTGAAAAAAGTTACTATGACAGTATCTTCCATATTAAAAAAAAGCAGGAGCACTCTTATGGCATAGCTATATTTTGGAAGGATAGGGTTTTCTCTTGACACCAAGCATTGAGAACAAATAAAAACTAAGTACCTGGGATGGACTGAGGGACAACAGGATGTGCTCCCAGAGTTCAGAATGTTCTCAAGACTAAAGATTCTGTGATAATCAATACAACTCAAAAATAATGATATGCCTACCAATTGTAACTTTCATACAAACCCCAAACAACCTTAAATTGTGTTATTTGAAACAATTACTTTTAGAACCACCAAAATTCAAAGACACTATTTAAAACTCCAGAAATAACAAACTTGAATCATGAATATTTTATACTTTCACTATTATTTAATTTTTTAATACTTTGAGACATTCTTTTCCCTTTAACAAAAAGAACAGTGGTGACACTATGTGCTACTAGTAGAAAATTAAGATCTCTTCTATAAAATGGAAAAATTTCAGTTATTACTGTCTTATTCTAAACATGCCAGGCAACAGACTTAACCTTGAGGCAGACCCATTTCTCCCTGGACCAAGGATTTTCTAAGCCCTTCTCTAAACTAACTGACTGGTTCAGAACACCAAGTATGGACAGACGAGAACGTGAGCAGGCCGTCCAATCTACACAGACACAGACACATGTGGAAGTCACTGAAACGAAGTCTTTAGGAGCAGGTGGGGAGAAAACACCACAACTGCATGAGGCGCAGTCGTCAGGGACCCAGAGCCATCTGCTGCCGTCAGTCTCTGTCTATGATCTGAGGGTCAGGTGTTTAGTGATATATAATGGAGATAAAACTGAACAGCGTCTGAAGAGGAAATTAAAAACCAAACTTACGCCTCAACATTTTTTACTTTTGGTGAAGTCATATGGTTTCCACCACTGAGCAAACTGCAGGGCCTTCTTCCTCTGATCCTCAAAGCTTTCTCGGATGCCTTTCCTCCAAAGTCTTGGTTCTATATCCAGCATCCCACCAATGATTTCCTTTTAAAGAATGAGAAAAATACAAATACATGCATGTATAAGTAAGAACGAAGACAGAAATGAAACTATTTCTGTTTATTCTGCTATCAAACGTAACAAGTGAAAAAAAATTCTGGTTTTCAGTTAGTTCTTATTACGCAAACCCTGTGATTCTAGGTCCTGCCAGCAGTGTCTTCCATCAGCAAGGTGTGCGTTTTGGTGCTCCTTAGCACCTCTACCAGATGTTAGCAAACGGGGGGGGGGTGAAATTTAATGAATTTTAGCCACATTAGCCGCTCTCGACCTGTACCAATTATTCGTTTTGTTGCTCAACTGGAGATGAAACCCAGGCTAATGCTCTCTCCACCACCCAGTATGTTTATAATCCAGGTGGATGTCTTTCTTCAGGAAACAAAATCGTACTTTAGTACTGATCTAAGTAAACCTAGAATTAAAAATTATAAATCATTTTCATTTAAAAAGTCACATGCTCTTAATATTAAGAGTATAAATGTCTTAACACAACAATTAAATAAGTGAGGTGAAGGCTATGTTAACCAGTTTGATGTAAGCATTCCAAATTGTATATAAAATCAGTACATTGCGCCCCATAAATGCAGTAATGTACACAGTTACGATGCAATACAAAAGTCACATTCTCAAAGCCCTAAAAGATTAAGAAATTAAATTTGCACATGTGAGTATCCATGTATAGAAAGATATGGAGGAGATTTGTAATGCTTAGAGACAGGACAGGGCAGCATGGTAATACAGAAAAACACTGTGCTAAGGGTCAAATTCTGAATATCCAGTCTAGTGTACTGCGCGGTGAGATCTTGGACAGATCACATAACCTCTGATTTTAAGTTCTTCACCTTAAATATACCATGAGGAGTCGCTCTGCTCAAGCAAATGGCATATAACATAGGGGCTACAAAAGTAACTAAAATATAGCTATTCATCTTCAGAGATCTTAGACTGGAACATGGAGTTGTGGTGGGAGCCAGCATATTAACCAAGCTGCACACTGGACTGCCTTACACCGCAGAATAAGGTACGTCTGAAACCAGACCCTCTGGAGATTCTAAAAAAGAAAACTTCCGTTAGTTAACTCTGAAGAAGCTTTGTAGAAAAACAGAAAATCCCCTATCAACAGGAAAGGGAAATAACAGGGCCAAGAGAAAGAGTACATCACACACAACATGGAAAGAAATGGGGCAAATTCAGATTTATGTAAGAGTTCCTTGGCATCAGTCCAAGTAAGCAATGCCGTTCAAGAAAGCCCAGCTTGTAAAAGTTGACCTCATTGTCTCCATAAGACATTAAGTTTAGTCTGATATATACCATGTAGGACTGATTCTTGTTCTGTTCCTGAGGCAACTGTTAATGGACAGACCACCCCAATAACCTCTTCTTGCTCTCTCAACAACTGCTTATGCAGGAGGCCAAAGGAAATTCGTGGGCCCACAGGCCATTTCCTGAAAAACAGACTTGGAGGAAAATGGCTCAGTGACATAAGCTGACTGGGGAAATTTTCCTTTTAACCTTTAAACAGTGTCATACCCATAACACATACCCACAGTATGTGAAGGGAGGCAGTCCCAATTAAATTTAGACAACTTGGAAAAAATGGGCATTTTACTTCCTTTTCACTAAAAGCAGGTTTTTCAAAAAAAAAAATTTAATCCAGGTGGTGCCTGTGGCTCAGAGGAGTGGGGCGCCAGCCCCATGTACCAAAGGTGATGGGTTCAAACCTAGCCCTGCCCCCAAACTGCAAAAATAAATTTAAAAAAAAATTAAAAAAAAAAAAGTTGGGTGGCGCCTGTGGCTCAGTGAGTAGGGCACTGGCCCCATATACCAAGGGTGGCGGGTTCAAGCTCAGCCCCAGTCAAACTGCAACAACAACAAAAAAA